GAAGAACGAAAGGATGATTTCGATAGGAGGCTCACTGAAGATTTCCAGTCAAACATTAAGTTTTTCTGGAAAACCATCAAAACAGCCAGAGGAAAAACTTCTACCTCTGAGCTGAGTACAATCAGGAGTCAAGATGGGAGCATTATAAAAGGAGAAGAATGTGTGTTAAAGAGATGGAAAGAGTATTTTGAAAGTTTGTTTGAAAGAGAGGAAGTGCAGGTACAGCATCTGCCACCTTACACGGAAACTAATATAAATGTTGATGAAAATGAGATAAGCATGGCTGAAATAGTGAAAGCGTTGAAAAGTATGAGATTAGGTAAGGCTGCAGGGTATGACAGGATTACCGTCGAGATGCTGAGGGCTGGACAGGGCCTGGTGGCTATTCAGCTGTACCGCCTTTTCAATCTGTGCTGGCGAAATGGGCAAGTACCGGGAGACTGGTGCAAAGCCGTAATCGTGCCATTGTATAAGGGAAAAGGGTCACGGCAGGACTGCATAAATTACCGCGGTATAAGCCTTCTCAGCGTCGTCGGTAAATTGTATGCGAAAGTGTTGATTGAAAGGATTGTGAATGAAACAGACAAGAAAGTATGGGATGCACAAGCGGGATTTAGAAAGGGAATGGGATGTACGGATCAGGTCTTTTCCTTGCGGTGCATAGCCGAAAAGTATTTGGCTAAAAACAAGAAAGTCTACTGCGCGTTCGTAGATCTAGAAAAGGCCTATGATAGAGTGGTGAGGAATGAATTGTGGTCAGCACTGTCCGTGAACGGTGTGAGCAGTATCCTCATACGAGCAATGCAATCTCTTTATAGGGATTCTAGTGCTTGTGTAAGGATAAACGGGGCATACACTGAATGGTTTAATATCGTAAAAGGTGTTAGACAGGGATGTGTAGCGTCACCGTGGCTGTTTAATCTGTTCATGGACAATTGTTTGACAGATTTAAAAGAGAATGAAAGTGGGTTGAGAATGAATGAGTTACTCGTCAAATGTTTTCTCTATGCTGATGACCAAGTATTACTTGCGTCTTCGGCCGAGGAGTTGCAGGAGATGGTAACTGCTATGAGTGGAGCTTTTATTAGAAAGGGAATGAAGATGAATGTAAGGAAGACGAAAGTTATGGTGTTTGAAAAAGATGAGACAGTGACAGACTGCAATATCGTGATTGATGATGAACAAATTGAACAGGTGAAAGAGTTTGTGTATCTGGGTTCAAAGTTTACAAGAGATGGAAAGTGTGAGAGTGATATCGAAAGAAGAGTGAATGCAGGAAACATGGTGAATGGAGCTTTGCACTCCTTTATGAGCAGTCGGAAGGTGTCTAACAAGGCTCGTTTGGCTGTGCATGAGGGGGTGTTGGTTCCGACACTCATGTACGGAAGTGAAAGTTGGGTATGGCAGAAGAAACATGAAAGCAGAATAAATGCAGTTGAGATGAGAGCATTAAGAAGTATGATAGGAGTTAAACTGAGTGACAGGCTAAGAAATAGTGAGGTAAGGAAACGTTGTGGTCTGAAAGAAGATGTAGTGACAAAAATTGAGAAAGGTATGCTGAGATGGTTTGGCCATGTCGAGAGAATGAATGAAGAACGATTGACGAAAAAAGTGTATAAGGCGAGTGTGAATGAAAGTGTTGGAAGGGGTAGACCTAGGCGGACATTTCTAGACCAAATTAGGGACGTCTTGAAAAAAGGCCAGGTCAAGAGTACCCTAAACCGTAGAGCATGTATGAAGGGAATAATGAAAGTGGACGAAGCAAAACAAGTATGTAAGGATCGTAGCAAGTGGAAAGAACTGGTCTCTGCCTACCCCTACGGGAAAGAGGCGTGATTATATGTATGTATGTATGTATATGTAATACCTATCACTAGTCAAAAATTTCTTAATTAAATTGTTTATGTCTATTAAATTAAATTTATTATTATAATTATAACAATTAAATGTCAAGTTTAAATTATTATTACATGAAAAGCTATTCATTAATAAATTTAAATCATATCTTATTTTATTTTCCTGCGGCCAACCCTGTATGTGAGGCAATGTAAACAAGATAATTTTATGTACATTTAAAGTATTTAGATTATCAATATATTTTAATACCTAATTGATTTATGTTTACATTGCCTCTTCTCCCAACAAGAATTATTATTGTGCTATTTAGGCAAAATTTACTAGCTAAAACTTTATTCATTATATGACTAAAGGATGCTCCAGGCATGCAATAATTACTGATCAGATGTCCTTTTAAACAGTTATTTAAGATCATGCTCAAATTTTTGCCTATGTCATCACAATACATAATAACTTAATTTTTTTAATATTTACATTGCTTTTTAAGTTTATATTCTTTGTCATGGCACTGTCATAGAGTGTAGGTAAAAATAATGAGTCCTTACTGTTTACTTTGTTATTTACACATATTGTCCCCGACGAACCTGGTATTTCATTCATGGCCAATATGAGTTCTTTTATCTGATCTTGAGCCGATGCATATTTATTTGATACAATTTGTAGGGAATTTTTAAGTGATAAAATTGTTGAATTTAGACACTCTATATCAGACTCATAACAGAGATTCATATTTTTCACCTCAATTGAATATATTTTAAGTTTATTAATTAGTTCTTGCTTTTCTTTGCATACATTTATATAATTTTTAACATTAATTTTAGTTTTAATTAATTTATGCATTTTTCTAATATATTTATTAATTTTTATATAAGTCAAATCGATTGTTGTGGAGAGTTGCAATGCTTTAGAAGATTCATATTCTATGAGCTCATTGAATAGACTTTGAGTTTGGGATGCTTTCATGTTGTCTATGTAATGTTTTAATTGCACAATCTGCTCATTTAACTTAGCCTCATTTAACTGTAAAAACATTTACTACTAATTACATTTACTACTAATTACATTTACTATATCAGAAAATTCTTCATAGAATTTTAGATATTTGATGAAAAATAATATAACTAGATTCTGTTGATATGTGTATGTAATTGCTGGTGCATCTGTTAGTGATTGCGTACTTCACGGAATCCTGAGGACAACGATATAATACCCCCACAGCTAGTAAATATACTGACTTACTATTTTTCAAACAGTAATGTACAGTTACTGTTGCTAAGTGATAGAGATAGGTACAGAGGTGTCTCGCCACAAAGTAAAATCGCAACCAAATTATTTATTTATCGACTGATACTAATTGTATCGTACGCTTACATTGCTCGCGTGCATCTGTAGTGCAGCAACTCACGCAATGTGCACACGCAGGTTAATTTCAGATGCGCAATTTGTTTACGAACATTGGATTTGAAATTGGAATTAAATATTCATAAATACAGAATGTATTTTTTTCCTAGATAACTTCAAAAATTAAGTATTAAGACTAGGCGATATAGAAGAAAAATATCGTTCTTTATCATCAGAGTTTACAATGAAAAATTCAAGAAATTGCAAAATGCTTTTTTAAAATAAAATGGAACTGCCAACCGAGTTTACAGTCCACATTATGCCATACACGCAGTCGGTAGACATCTGAAACCAACAACAAACAATTAAGGCTACACATGCGATGTCACCTCCGAGAAACAAGAAAGGATGGTTCAAAAATTGTAATTATATAGGCTCTATATAACCTTAAACAGGATCACAGTGGTGCAGATATGGTTACTTGGCCACAGAAATAGATAAGAAGGTGGTACTCACCCAGACAAACTACAAGATAGAAAAGGAACCCTACTAACAAATACCAATACTATATTTTACTAGACAAATTTGTGTTTGAAATGACAGAAGAAAAAGATTTTTCCTACACTACTTTAAACTACCAAGTAGTTGAACATTTCTTTATCGTTATAAATATTTCTTGTATTTTAAAGACGCTTTAAAAATCCATCGCTGAATGTGGACCTCTTGGAAGAAGAACGCTCCAACTTCCATAGCTCGCTAGGCAGTTTGGTGAGCGCATTGTCGATATCCTACCTATTCCATCATTGGTAATGTTGCTGCCCTTATTCACCAAACACACCGCCCAGCAGCACCTTCCTGATAACAACGAAAAATAACAAAAAACTGAGATTATATATAAATAAATAATAATATTAATGGGGGAGGTTTGTTTTTGGCATTGGACTTTGGTATGATGTAATGAATAAATGAATGGATGAAATACCTAGCAGCAGGTCATAGAGTATAACACCTGTTATTTTTTTAATTTAACTTAATTATTGCAGCATAATATTTTACGTGGTAAAGTCATGCTCCAGCTAAATAAGTAGTATAATTGTATCAAAATAGGTCGGCTTAATCAGGGAAGAACCAAGCTCTCACAGAATACTACCATAAAATAACAGCTTAACGCTAGTATGTTTCGTATGGTGAGTGTTTACTGTTAACCAGAAACCCTGTTTACTAGAAAAAAAATTATTAATTAAACATGTAACGAAAGCCTTATCTCTTTTTAGATAGAGACCACAACGTGGTAGAGCCAAGTTTGAACTATATTATGGTTGTAGCACGTATGGGTCGGCTCCACGCTCTCGCAGAATACCAGCTTAATGATGCTGTTTCGTATGGTGAGTGTAGAGAAGCGAAGATCCTTTTTAATGGAAACGAGGCATTCCATCGTAGTCCTCTCGGGTGACAACGCATCTGCGTTTTGATTCGTAATCTCCTTACCATCAGATGGACTGTGTTATCGTTTGTCACCCTTAACCTATAAAAAAAAATTGTAACTTATAGGGATAGTAAAGTATTTTATTTGAATCGAGGATTTATTTTTAAAATATAAATTTAATTACAACGCATGTGTAATGAACTTCTAACCAAGAAAAAAAACTTTGTGGGTGCGGTTCGTGCATTTGTTTATTTAAAATTCAATGCCAAATACGTTTATCAAATAATGAGATAATTAGACAATCGTTCTTGTTTACTTAATATATTTGTGATTAAATCAAAATGTTTTCCATTTGAAGATAAGATTTCGTTAAGCCATGTCTTGGTAAGCAACATTTAACATTAAATTATAAAATATATTTATTTTGAATGTCTACAAACCTAGTCAGTGACTAGTAGTGACTACGCGTTTGTTAAACTACTCGTAATAAAGAAATCACTGCTATACTTCAAAAATAAAATTTAAGATATAGTCAAAGGAAGTAGCTCCGATGAAAAAAATAATCTCAGATGGTGTATTTACCTATCTAGAGCCAGGGTAGCTCAAGTTGTAAGTTCTGATAGTACGCGAGCATCCCGAGGTCGATCCGAGCGAGTCTTTGTTATTTCTTAGACATTTACGTTTCTTAGTGTTTTCCTTCACAACTTAGTGTGTGATAAATTAGCACTTAAAATTTACTAGCGCTGTACGAAATTTATGGTGAGCGCTACTAAGCGCTACGGTTTTATACTTGCCTCTCTCTATTTCTCTATTTATATTTCTAATAATATCTTCACAGCAATAACACCAATTATTGTGTAACTTCAACTGGTACAGCTACTCAGGCGTTTACCTCTGCTCTTCAATATATTTTGGCAGCTCAATGTCTCATCACTGAAGAATTGCCTCCAAATTCGGAAGTAAAAGGTAAGAAACAGTGATGGTAAATTATATCAAGCAATACATTTAACGATTACTATATCGATAAGTGATGCCGGTGAGAACGATGTTCCGGAGCAAGTGCCAGAAGTCTGTCTTAAAAATCTGTTCATCATTATCATCAGTATCATCAAAGTTGAACTGGCTTGCAGAAGCTGAAGACTGCAGAAGACAATTCTCGGGTGTGAATGGTAGAGGTTATTGAGAATAGTTTCCAAAGATTGTTGGTTGCCTGTTTACATTACGTCAGTTGGTCACTAGTTTGGCTGTCGACAGGAAAAGGGGAGATCTCCCGCCGGGCAAGATGATCGGCCCATTTTAGTAAAACGTAGTGACTCTGCATACTACCGTCTACGGCACATCTCGCATGTGGTATAGAATAAGAATTAAAAAAAAAAAACTCGCTCGCATAAAATTGACCGTCAGAACTTCTTCGGGGCCGGCTGAAAATCAGCGCTGCAAGCTCGCGGCATATGCTGAGACGGTCCCTTCCACCACTTCATCATAGCACACATTTTATTTTTATTTTATTTTATTTTATTTTTTTTTTGAATGGACGCTCTTTTCTTTATTCAATTTTTTTTTTGTTTGTTTGTTTATAAGTCACTTGTTTTATTTTTAATTGTAATTTGTCATGTGTGTAGATGTAAGTGTTGGAATAAATGTCTTTATGTCTTTATGGTAGTTCGAAGCCATTATATATACTGCCTTTCCTTCGGAACTTTGATGGCGCAATTTATGCTTAGATGTGTTTCGCTTGTGGCGCGACGGCAACGGCGATAGTTCTTTTTGTGACTAGCATCACCGTTACAGCCTATTAAAGTCCACTGCTGAACATTTGTCATAGTTGTCATGTTTGGCAAGCGGGTTTGCAAACGCAGTTTTTTACTTTTAGTCTAAGATTTTCCGATACTCATTATTCTGGGTAGATGGGTTGATGAGCGGAGAGCCGAGACCCTCGCACTGTTATTGTAATTCCCCTATTATTTGGCTGTAAAATTCTTTTTTTTTCCTTCAATGAATCGGTAGTAGAACTATTTTTATCTCTAGGCATCTGTCTAGGTAGGTAACAACTTCTTAAAATACTGATAACAACATATAGTCGTCTTAACAACCTCCTGATTTTTTTGAGTCGGATAAAAATAATTAAAGAAGAGTATTCACCTACGTTTGGTATAGGACAGCCGGTGTACCTGTAAAAAAAATCAAATAAAATCGGCCTGGAAAATTAAGTAATAATATAAAGATATAATGTAATAAATAACAAATGTAACTGAAACTTGGTAATTGAATATGTCATGTCATTATCATTACAGTCCATCATAAGTCTACTTCTGAAAATAGGCCTCCCCTAGGAACACCGCAAAGTATGGCCATGAGCATCTCTTACCAGATCGTTACTCCAGCTAGTAGGGGGCCGCCATACACTTCCCTTACCGGTATAAAGCTGCCACTCTAAAACTTTTCTTCCCTGGTTTTTGTGTTTGAAGCTAACTGATAAGTTGTCACTTTAGCTTACTGATACCATGGGCTATACTTTACGTCATATCCTCGAAACCGCTGCATTGGAAAAAGTTTCCAAGTATTAACTATAGTAATATGCCGTCTTTAAAAACGTAATCTCATCCTCATTGATTACACGTGATATATATTATAGATTATGTGATTAATCATATATTATTATTATTTTTAATAATATATTATTGAGTACTTTATTGAAATCGGCTAAAACTACACTAAATGTAAAAAAATATTTAAGTCAATATTTTTATGTCAATGAACGACTGCAAAACACAGTTGATGTGTGCATATCAAGTCCGATTGTGTTTGTTCATTAGATTGTTCTATAAGGTGCTCTAACGGTGTCCACGTCTGCGTAATATTAAGTAATTTGTTATAAATTAAGGAGTAGCATTGTGCAATATTGTAAATATATAACAAAAAGCAATAATGAGATTGAAAATGAATGTATATATAATCTTATTTTTTTTATCCTTTCAGATTTAGATGAATTTCATTTTATAATAGTGGGTGGCGGTTCAGCTGGTTTAGTAGTAGCTAATCGTCTCACCGAAGAAGAAAAATGGACGGTATTGGTTTTAGAAGCTGGAGATGATCCTCCTGCTGAAAGCTATGTAAGTTGATAATAGATGTAAATTATAATGTGTACACGCTGGTGTGTAAGTTATTCTTATTATTTAAAGGTACCTCAATTGAATGGTGGTCTGTTTGGGTCAAGATATGATTGGCAATATCAGACAGTTGCTACTGGTTTTACAAATAATGCAAATTTAAATGGTACTGTTCACTGGCCCCGAGGAAAAATGCTCGGTGGAAGCAGTAGCATGAATGGAATGATATACTTTAAAGGAAGCAGTCATGATTATCAAAACTGGTACAATAATGGCAACAAAGAATGGCATCCTGAGAGAGTACAAAAATATTTTAAGAAAGCGGAAAGCTTGCAAGATCAGAGTTTATTAACAGATCCTGAAATCAGAGATAACTACGGTTATGATGGACCTCTGATTATAAACACATTCAACAGCACTTTACGAGTCTTCTCAAACAAAATATTGAAGTCATTCGGAGAAATTGGAATTAACCCTGTAAAAGATTTGAACACTGCCAGACTTGTAGGTTCTGGAATATTTAGATCAACTGCTTATAACGGAAAAAGGGGGAGCACTGCTTCTACTTATTTAGCTCAATTACAAAATAGGAAAAATTTTAAACTCCTAAAAAACGCTTTTGTTACTGAAATATTATTAAATGATCGTTTAGAAGCTTATGGAGTTAAGGTTGTAATTAACGGAACCACACTAAAACTACTAGCATCACTTGAAGTAATTTTAAGTGCTGGTACAATTAATACACCACAGTTATTGATGCTGTCGGGAGTAGGCCCAAAAGACCATTTGGAGTCAAAAAACATAACATGCAAAGTAAATTTGCCAGCAGTAGGTCAAAATCTTCAAGATCATCTTACTGTACCAGTTCCTATTTTTGGTAATGAAACCAAGCTGCCACGTGAAGGTTATGGCCCTTTGGATACCATACGCTATTTGATAAATAGAACAGGAAATTTAGCACAAAATAGTTTCACAGACATCGTAGCTTTTTTTGCGAAAAATAAAAATGCTACAAGACCAGAATTTCAAACCCATGTGCAAATTTTTAACAAGAATTCTTCTAGAGGTCTTGGATACTTCAATAGCAATTATAAAACTTCAATTGTTGAGTCATTTTTAGAACAAAATAGAAACTATACTATGTTTCTATTTTTATTTAATCTATTACATCCTATGTCCACTGGAAATATCTCCTTAAACAGTAAAAATCCAAATGATCATCCATTAATATATGCAAATTACTTCGGCGAAGCTATGGATTTAGAAGCTACTGCAGAAGGGATAAAAATTTTAACAAAATTAGTTAATACGACTTATTTCAAATCAATAAATGGATTTTTAGGCAGATATAACTGGCCGGTGTGTAATAATTTTGAATTGGATAGCACTAACTATTGGAAATGTATTTCAGTCAATATGGTATTAACAGTTTTTCATCCAGTTGGTACTTCAAAAATGGGGCTTAATTCAAATGATTCTGTTGTAGATAGTCGTTTAAGAGTACACAAAATCAAGAAATTACGCGTAATAGATGCAAGTGTAATGCCGACAATTACAAGTGGAAACACTAACGGTCCTACAATTATGATCGCCGAATTAGGGTCAGACCTAGTAAAAGAAGATAATAGTGACTAAATTTATGTACATTATACCTTTTAGCCTTAATTAAAAGATTTATAAAGAGCTTAAAACCTTGTTTTTTGATACTACCGGTTGTCCTCTTTCTCATCATCATTAGAGCCCTTCACAAGTTCACTGCTAAACAAAGGCCAAGGAATACCTCTAGGCATGGTTTTAAGCCACCTGCATGTTTTTTTTATAGATCAAGGGTGACAAACGAGTGCACAGATCATGTAATGGTAAGTGGATGCTGTGCCTCATATAATTATCATAGGTTAGGTATCAAAATGCAGATGCGTTGTTATACATGAGGACTAAGATGGAATGCTACGTTTCCAATAAAAAGTATCTCCGGTTCTCTACATTCACTATACGTAGTGCAACAGCATTTAGCTGCTGCTTTACTTCTATGAGAGCTTGGTCCTACCCTCGTCGACTGGTTGTAGCATGAATGGGTTTACCATTCATGCTACAGCTCTTTCAAAGCTCCCTTCCTATGAGCTTCCCGGGAAATTTTGCAATTGGATCACCAGCTTTCTTGCATATCGGAGCATCAAGGTCGTTGTAGACGGTGCATGCTCCGACTACAGGCCTATTAATTTTGGTGTTCCACAAGGCTGCGTGCTATCAACGCTGTTTCTTCTGCATATCAATGTTATTTTGTAACCGGTAACATTCATTGCACATGACACAACAGACAGCACTGGTGATGCTCTATATACCGGCCGTGCCAATATTTCTCGGGAAAACGTCGCCGAGTACCGGAACAAACTTGTATCTGAAGTCGAGTCTTTAATGAACAAAGTCTCGGATTGGGTGTGACTAAATTAGTGCAGTTTAATCCTCAGAAGAAACAAGTTTGCGCGTTTACCGCTAAAAACCCTTTAAAAGGCTATCAACACCAGGGTTGCAGATAATCATAAGCGGCGGTAGTCACTTACCATTAGATGAGCCACATGCTCGTTTGCTACCTTTCCTATAAAAAAAAAGGTTTATAATTTATAAACAGGCAATATAATTTCAGACTACGAGTTATCTGTTCAGAGTCAAAAGAACCACTGAGAAAATGGTCACGCTAATCTTAATACTTTGAGTGAGCAAATCCTTAAGACACGAGTGTACATTCGTATGTAATTGGTTTCTCGGAAACGTCCCTTAAGATTTTGTAACATCGAGTAAAGTTCGGTCACACAGGTTACACTATATTATGTTTAATTATAAAAAACGACCTCGTGGTAAATCAACCGTTTCTGTCTAGGAGTTGTCCTGCTACATTTTGTATTGTATTTCTTTGCGAAGATTGTATGCATACTTATGAAAGTGTTATGCCTGAAATATCCTAAGATAGAGGTATACCCTAGTTCAGGTACCTGTTATTATGGACTATTATTTTAATTGAGAGATTTTTTTAATTTACTGGACAGTTTGTTGAAATTAAAAAATTGTAAATTAAAAATGAATTGAATTAATTAATACATTGAATGAAATCTACTTATATAATTGTATTTCTCTAGTAAATTTTAATTAATACTAAGGAAAAAAATACATTCGAGTAACATAACAAATTTAAAATGACTAAGCCTTTTCGTTGAAAATACATTTCTGTTAAAGTCTGAATCAAAAATCTGTTATTCAACTTAGGATTCTCTTGATCTTCATTATCTTATACCAGTTTGAGAAACAGTACATACAGTGGTGGTTGTATAATTAGAAACACTACCAACGGTCCTTGACATTATGTAAAATATCTCACCGCAATTGTTTTTATTTAGAAATTAAATAATAAATAGGACAAAAATATGATCAACGATTTATCGTTTATTAGAAAAACAAAATTAATCCCATTACACAAGTGCAGTTTCAATATTACATTACGGACAAACATTTAAATCTGTTTTAAGGTATGGACAGTAATGGTTAACTAATTAGAAACAACAACAAAAAAATATAAAAAACAATATTTTTCAAGTATTAGTAATTAGTATTGTTATTTACGAAATAGCTACTATCCACAGCCTACCAATAGTTATAATTAATATTTAGTGGCGTATCCCTTATTTTCAATAACAGCACTGCAACGACGTGGCATTGATTCAATCAATTTCATACATTTTTCTAGGGGGATTGAATTCCATGCTTCAACAAATGCTTCATATAGTTCGTTTTGACTGGTGTTACGTTTGAGACTTTTTTTAACAATATACCAGAGATTTTCCATCTTTAAATCCGGACTATCTGCTGGCCAGTCTAAAATGAATATACGCTGTTCGCTATGGAAACATTTGACGCTATTGGCCGTGTGTTTAGGGTCATTGTCATGCTGAAAGATCCAGGTTACAGGCAAATGATCGTCCGAGTAGGGAGTCATTGTGTGCTCTAAGATATTTTTGTATTGCCATTGATCCAATGTACCTTCAATCTTTCGAACGGGTCCAACTCCACATCCGGAAAAACACCCCCAAATTTTAATGTTACCGCAACCGTGCTTGACTATATTCCTTGTGTATTTATAATTAAAAGCATTGTTTACAGTTTACGTCTAACATAGCGCTAGGCTTAGCTTTCCATTGACGTCAGTCGAGTTTGGTGTTGATACGTATTTTTACAGAAAAGTTACACTATTATAAGCACACACACAAAGTTTCAACATACGTAAACGCGTAATTTTTGAGAAAAGAATTATTGAAAATCAATTATTCTTGCAATGTTTATGTCTAATCCTACGATAAAATTGGCGCCATTTTGTAATGTCATTGTCGACGTCAATAGGGATGTCGATTCTTTCCGAAAAAGGTCGATTTTTAAATCGATTCAAATCGTAAGCTGATGTATCGGTTCACAAAAAATCGATTTATAAAATATCTATATTTTTTTAATGTTTCTGTTTATAATGTAAATATAAACCCATTATATGAAAAACAAGAAAGATACCATGATAAATGATCTCTTATTGAAATTTGTTTTATTTAACAGTACCTATTAGGGCAGATAACTTATGTCAAAGAACCGAATTGATTGACCCCGACTCCACCTGGTACGAGTCTGTCCTACCCCTAGAGTGGTTTTATAGAGCCGGAGGCGCGTAGGGGGAGCAGCCTCCGCCTGCTGTAATCCTCGCCTCCGCAGCTTCGGCTCGTCCGATGCCTACGATTTGTTACGCTAAAGCATAGAGGCTGCTCTTCCCGCAGCGCCGGAGACGTAGCAGTCTCTAAATAGATACAGAAATCCTTCTGAATCAGTCCCCTTAGTTTTTTATGATAAGGGGATTTTTTGTCATAAAATGGATTTTTATTTACATTGTAAATGCAAACATGAAAAAAATAACGATATTTTAGAAATCGATTTTTGGGAATCGATACATCAGCTTACAATTCGAATCTATTTAAAAAATCGATCTTTTTCGGAAAGAATCGACATCCCTACTGACAATAATAATAAAAATGGTGTCAGTTTCACGGTAGGAATTGACTAAATATTGCAAAATTATTTGATTTATAATATTTTTTTCTCAATAAGTACGTGTTTCCGCATATTGAAACTTTGTGTGTGTGGTTATAAAAATGTAATCTTTCTGTAAAAATACGTATCAACACCAAACTCGACTGACGTCAATGGAAAGTCGTACCTAGCGCTTTTCATCGGAATTTACTATATTTATTTTTGTTTCATCTGAAAATAACACTTTCTTCCATTCTCGTACCGTCCAATTAACATATTTTTTAGCGAATAATAATCGCTTCTCTCGGTGTTGCTTGGTAAGAAGGGGTACCTTTCGAGAGATTCTTCCAAACAATTTAGCTTCCACTAATCTTCGGCGTATCACTCTTGACCAGATGTTTCTCAGGTCATCAGGCGAAAAAACTTCATTTTAAATCTGGTTGGAGCCTTTACTTTTTAGCAACACGAATCTTCTCTGGGAGAGGTTTTTCTTGGTCGAGCCTTTCTAAGAACATTTACAACAGTTCCATGTGTTTTATAATGATCAAGTGCATTAAAAACTTTCTTAACAGAACAATTTAAATGCTCAGCTATTCTTCTGTACGCCCACTTATGATCTATATATGTAAATTAACAATTATTTGCCTTGTTGCCGCGTTACAACTTTTATTTTGGCCCATTTTAAACAAAATAAAAATTCAGATTAAATTTTGAATTGCCTCCAAAATAATAGAAAAAGCCAAGAAAGAAATGTTATTCTCCAATTTCAAAAAAAGAACGAGCTATGGATTCTTTTTTAAATGTTTCTAATTAGGCGTCCAAGCAGTCAGTAACAGAAAATAAACTCCTACATGTTTAAGACTCATTTTGTAATTAAAAGTAAGATATGTTTTATATTATATGCATTTAATAAGTTTCTTATTTGAGTGGCTATATTATTTCATGATTATTAATTATTGAATGTGTATATTTTTTACGAACATTTGTACGTTGAAGTTATGCTTTCTTTGTTTATAAGAAGTGTTTCTAATTATGTGACCACCACTATATATCAAAATAAGGTAAATACGACGAAAAATATATGTTTTTACAATTTCAAGGCTTTTGCTTTACTCTAGGATCATCATAATAATAAGAGGAGGCTTCTACCTGGCATTGAAATCTATGTGGGCTGTCGCTTTAATTTTATTTGTTCATGTAGAAATAACGAATGAGGAAATAGTGACAAAGCAAATTTATGTTGCGGAAGTAAGTGGCAAAGTCGACAAGGGACGCCCAAGACGGAAACTTACCAACCAAAATGACGGTTTATTGAATATAGAAAAAATTAAGATATCCTTAACCGACGAACATATAGACGTAGGTACTCGTATATAGACATGAAAGAGGTGATGTCTCACCTTGGTGTGTCAGGATCGTGCTGAATGGAAGTCCGTAGTCTCTGCCTACCCTTCTGGGTGGCAGGCGTAAGTGTTTTTGTACATTTAATACTTTGTACTTTATTTCTGTTAAATATTATTGCATTATATTTTTGAATTAAAACAAAAGTTCTAATATAATAAAATTAAACATAAAGA